CAAACTTTAACTATGTACAACATAAAGCAAAACAACTGAGAGGAATGGTCATATCAAAGTTCACCAATATACAGTATCTTATGTAAAGTCCTGCCTCAGGGGCCTGATGAAGTGGCAGCAGTCAAGCTGTGTGTGCTGTGGATGTGGTGATCTCCTATGCTTCAATTGTGTGTGTTGGTAGTGTGACCATTAAGGTTGTTTTAGGTTGTGGTTTTCAGTTTATAAATAAAGTCAAATTTATTTCTAATCCAGTCTCCACTGATCCATCTATTCCTGTAGGTCACAGGATCGATTTAAAAATTTTACTATTAACTTTTAAATTTCTGAATGGACTGGCACCGCCTTACTTAGCCAAACTTCTCCATACACACACTCCAGTTAGGGAGCTGAGATCAGCCACTCAGCTACTCCTGGACCGACCTAAAGCAAGACTCATAACCAAAGGTGATCACGCTTTCGCATAACCACCCCAAACTTAGATCTGCCCCCTCTCTTTCACACTTCAATCACTACTAAAAACAAATCTGTTCTCATTGGCCTTCTACTCGAGTTGAGTATGTTTTTATCACAGCTTATTTTATTTTATTAGGTCTCTTAAATTTTACTTTATATTATTTTTTACTTATTCTACCCTCTCTCTTATTCTATTTTTATTCTGATGTGTGTTACTCTTGTTGTTGTACCTTGTACTTGTGAAGTACTTTGGTCAACCAAGTTGTTTTAAATATGCTATATAAAAAAATTTGACATTGACATTAAGTCTGTGCAGTAATAAATTCAGTCTAATCTAAGCACAACATGACATGAGTAAATGGTTTGTATTTGTATGGAGCTTTTCTAGTCTTGATGACCAGTCAAAGTACTTTAAAGTACAGTTTAGCCATTCACACACATTCATACAGTGAATCTATGTGCATTCATACATTATTAGAGATATGACACTATAACACTGTGTGTGTGTGTGTGTGTGTGTGTTTGTTTTGTTAATTTGATTGTTTTTGTTTTTTCTATTTCCTTGGAGAGAGGAGGAGGGGTTGTTTGGGGTTGGGGCAAAGAAACAAAAACAGCAAAAATAAGAATACAAATGTTATTAAATTAAATGGTTAAGTTAATAAATCAATAATAATAACAACAAAAAAGAAAAGAAAACATGTAAAAAAGGAAAGGGGGGTTGGGAGGACAATAAGGACTTAATTATTATAGTGTGTGTTTCTGTTGTGTATCTGTTGCCTGCTGTGCTGTGTGTACAGTAGAGTAAAATTTCGATTGCATGAATATAGTCATTTATAGTAGAGAGCAGTTACTTGAATCTGAGTGGCCCATTTGATGCATTTTTGAGTGTGATATGTGTTCTGTGTTTGACCTTGTATTGTATGAGTTGGAGGTTAGAGAATTTGTGCAGATATTGGTCCAGGAGTCATTATCTAGAGATATTGATTTTTCCCATTTTTCAATGTGGAGGCATATGGTTGGGTCTGTGTTGATTAGTTTGTACAGCTTGGAAAGTGTTTTATTAGTTATTGTAATCTTATTATTTCTTCTGTTAATGTGGATGCTTGAACATTGACTTGTTTTTGATGTGTTTTGACCAATTTTAGTTGAAGTTATTGAAAGAAGTTATTCTATTTTGTATTTGTGCGTCACTTCTGTGAAGGGCATAAAAGTATAATTTTATAAAGTGGTTAAGTTCAGTGATTTATGGT